AAAAAAAAAAAAAAAAAAAGAAGTGGCAGGGTTGAAAGAATGAGGTCCTGTTGGTGAGGAGGAGTCAGCCAGAAAGGGGCGGGATTAAGCTCAAGGAGGTGTGGCCTGGGAAGGGGCGTGGCAGGCCTGTGTCTACCGAGGACCAATCAGGGGAAGGGGAGGAGCCAGTGGGGAAGGGGAGGAGTCAAACTAAAGGTCAGAGGTGGTGAGAGCAGAGGTCAAGGAATGCTGAAGTGTCCCGCTGGAGATTCCTCCTCACCCCTGTCTCTCCCCATCCCCTCCCCAGAGACAGTGCGCACGGCCACCCCCTTCCCCATGGTCAGTCTCTTCCTCGTGTTCACGGCCTTCGTCATCAGCAACATCGGCCACATCCGCCCGCAGAGGACCATTCTGGCTTTCGTCTCTGGCATCTTCTTCATTCTGTCGGGTGAGCCTAAGGCCTTGTGCGCTCGGGGACCATTTCCAGTTCCAGGGACCTGTGGTTCCTCTTCCGCTTAGTCACTTCCTTGCTATGTGGCCTGGGAGGAGTTGCGGACCCTCTCTGAGCCCCACTTTTCCTTCTATGTGCAATGGAAATATCAATGCCCATTGCAAAGCGTCCTTTAGAGGACAACATTATAGCGAGGGCTTACTGGGTGCTAATTAGGTAGCAGGCTCTGTTCTGATATCCACAAACAACCTTGTGAGGTAAATCCTATTAATAGCCCATTTTACAGATATGGAAACAGACACTCAGAGGGATGAAGTCATTTGCTCAGGGCCATACAACTAGTGAGAGGCAGAGCTGGGAATGAAACTCACGCAATTCGCCTCCGGAGGCTGTATTTTTAACCACTGCTGATAAACTGCAATTAACAGTTTACAAGGCTCCTTATTTTCTGTGCAATATTTTGTTTTAAATTTTTTCAAATAAATGGAAAAGTCCAAAGAAATTTACAGCGAACACCCATGTAGCCACCACTTAGAGTCAACCATTAACAGATCCCTAGACCTGCACGACCTTGTATGTCCATCTGTCTATATGTTCAACCATCCACCAATCTACCTTATTGTCCAGATGCATTTCAGAGTAAGTTTCAGGCGTCAGTACACCTCACCCCACATACTTCATCATACATGTAATTAGAGTTCAAAATTTGTTTACAGTTTTTTTTCTTCTTTTGAGGCACAAGCCTCTTTTTCCTATGTGATCTCATACCCATCTTCTAACATCTCTAGGAGTTGTTATTAGCATTCACTTGAGAAAATGGGGGTACCAAGGCCCAGAACTGCATAGAGAGTTGCCCAAGATACCAACATAAACAATTGCCAGAGGATTTGAGTGTCCAGAGTTCCAGTAAAGCCTTTTTTCTTCTTCTTATTAATTAATTAATTTTTTTTTTTTTGAGATGGAGTCTCCCTCTGTTGCCCAGGCTGGAATCCAGTGGCATGATCTTGGCTCATTGCAACCTGTGCCTCCCAGGTTCAAGCAGTTCTCCCATCTCAGCTTCCCAAGTAGCTGGGACCACAGGCACCTGCCACCACGCCCAGCTAATTTTTGTATTTTTAGTAGAGATGGGGTTTTACCATGGTGGCCAGGCTGGTCTCGAACTCCTGGCCTCAAGTGATCCTCCTGCCTCAGCCTCTCAAAGTGCTGGGATTACAGGCTTGAGCCACTGTGCCTGGCCTAAGGTCTTTATTTGTTTGTTTGTTTATTTATTTATTTTGAGATGGAGTCTCCCTCTGCCGCCCGGGCTGGAGTGTGCAGTGCAATGATCTCAGCTCACTGGAAAGTCCACCTCCCAGGTTCAAGCGATTCTACTGCTTCAGCCTCCTGAGTAGCTAAGATTACAGGCACCTGCCACCATGCCTGGCTAATTTTTGTAATTTTTTAGTAGAGATAGGGGTTTCATCATGTTGGTCAAGCTGGTCTTGAACTCCTGGCCTCGTGATCCACCCACCTCAGCCTCCCAAAGTGCTGGGGTTACAGGCATGAGCCACCGTGCCTGGCCTGAAGTCTTTTTTCTCTAGTGCTACTCTCCAAATTTCAGCCCAATCCAATGCAATTCAGCTAAAATCAGCCCAAATCAACTCAGCTCGGGTACATTTAACTCCATCCATCCAATCCAACTAACCCCAATTCATCTGACTCCATTCTTCAATTCAAATTAACTCAACATAATTTAATTAAACCCAAATCAGGTCCTTGTAATTCAGTTGATATTTTATGAACAAGCCCCACTGCATGCCTCATCTCCATTCCATCCCTTGGGGCTGGCACTCAGCTCCTTCTTTTCAGTGGCTGTGCTAACAGTTGAAAAGGGATCCTCCAGCATCCCCTCCTCCAGTCCCTGCTCCTCACCCAGCCTCCTCTGGGTGCAACCTCCCCCATGCCTTCAACCTAACCTGAAGACACCTTTTCCAGGGAAGGCAGGGTACAACCTCCGTGCAAACTTGAATCACAGCGTGTGGAGCCAGACACTGAGCTAAAATAAGACATGGAGAATATCACGATCCTAGAGTGTCAGAGCAGAAAGGTCTCATCATTTTTCAAATGGAAAAATAGTGGCCTAGAGAGAGAAAGTGGGGCAGGAGTAGATGGCATGGGGGTTTTTATTCAACCTGGTCAAAACCATTGTAAGGAAAGTCCCATTGTTTGTGGTTCACAGGAACGGAAACAGGGGCTTGAAGAGGCGATATAACTCATCAATGGCAGAACTGTGATTAGAATCTAGGGTATTCTGATTTCCAAATCCATGCTATTACCACCCACTGCACCAGGAGCGGATGGCCCAAGGTCACACTGAGGATCAGGGTGCAGTCAGGCTGCAAGCCATGCCTCTAGGGTAACAATAGAGTAATTTGGAAGAGATTGAATCCAACTGCCTGAATTCCTTCCTGGTATTCATTTCACCAGCTATCACCTATGCACTCTATCCCACGGTATCAGTCATGTGCTGCCAAGCCTCTGGGGTATAGAACCTAGAAAGAACTGGGTTCAAATCTTGCTTTTACCACTTACTCACAGTTGAACCAAAGTGTTTTATTTTATTTTTTTAAATTTTTATTTATTTATTAAGTTTTTTTGAGATGGAGTTTTGCTCTTGTTGCCCAGGCTGGAGTGCAATGCTGCGATCTTGGCTCATTGCGACTTCCGCCCCAGGTTCAAGCGATTCTCCTGCCTCAGCCTCCCAAGTAGCTGGGATTACAAGCACCCACCACCACGACCGGCTAATTTTGTATTTTTAGTAGAGACAGGGTTTCTCCATGTTGGTCAGGCTGATCTTGAACTCCTGACCTCAGGTGATCCACACGCCTCAGCCTCCTAAAGTGCTGGGATTATAGGCATGATCCACCATGGCTGGCCTAAACCAAAGCCTTCTTTTGTGTTGTTGAGGGGACAAATCTTGGTCAATGATTGGCAAACTTTTTCAGCTTAGGGCCAGACAGCAAATATTTTAGGCTATGTGAGCCATAGGTTCTCTGATACAACTAGTCAGCTCTACTGGGAGGCAGCTTGGCCACTATAGAGCAAAAGCACCAGGCGTGAACAAATGGGAGTGCCTGTGTTCCAGCAGAGTCCAGAGTGTGGGCTCTGAAACGCGAGTTCCATGTAATTTTCACGTGCGTGAAATAGTATTCTTCTTTAAATTTTTTTTTAATCAAAAGAAGAATAGATAAAAATCATGCTTAGCTCACAAGCCATACAAAAGGAGGCAGCGAGCCAGGTCATTATTTGTCAATCCCTGATTTAGATCATGAATGTGAAGCTCCTGACCTAGTGCCTGGACTGTAAGAGTAAGTGCTCAACACGGAGTAGTTTTAAGTAAATAAATAAATGTGGTAATAATAGTAGTAGTACTAGCAGTAATTGATTTTTTTTTTTTTTTTTGAGATGGAGTTTCACTCTTGTTGCCCAGGCTGGACTGCAATGGTGCAATCTCACCATAACCTCTGCCTCCTGGGTTCAAGTGATTCTCCTGCCTCAGCCTCCCGAGTAGCTGGGATTACAGGCATGCATCACCACAACTGGCTAATTCTGTATTTTTAGTAGAGATGGAGTTTCCCTATGTTAGTCAGGCTGGTCTTGAACTCCCGACCTCAGGTGATCCGCCTGCCTCAGCCTCCTAAAGTGTTGGGATTACAGGCATGAGCAAGTGCACCCGGCCAGCCAACTTATTTATTTATTTAAGATGGAGTTTTGCTCTTGTCACCCAGGCTGGAGTGCAAGGGTGCAATCTTGGCTCACTGCAACCTCTGCCTGCCAGGCTCAAGCAATTCTCTTGCCTCAGCCTCCTGAGCAGCTGGGATTACAGGCATGTGCCACCATGCCTGGCTATTTTATTTTTCTTTTCAAAGCAAACATGCATGCCATTGCAAGCCTGGCTATTTTTTGTATTATTAGTAAAGACAGGGTTTCATCATGTTAGCCACGATGGTCTTGATCTCCCAATCTCAGGTGATCTGCCTGCCTTGGCCTCCAAAAGTGCTGGGATTACAGGCGTGAGCCACCGCCTTATTTTTATTTTTTTCCCCTTCTGGTTGAATTTCAGCTCACAAAAACCAGCTTTTTTTGGGTCCAGACAGTTCTAGGGGCTTTATACATATTATGCTATTTATTTTCTTCACCCTGTAAGGCAGGTGCCATTAATACCTCCATCTCAACACTGGGGAAACAGAAGCATTCAGAGGTTAAGTTGTTCCATAGGGGAAGCAAGACTCTAACACAGGCTCCTCACCATGGCATTGTGCTGCCCCACCAAGATTCAAATCATAAACAGGAGATTTAAAAGGAGAAGTTAAGGACAGAAATAATACCAATGCCTTCAATCTTGGAATGGAATAGCCTGGTCTGACTGCTCCTGTTCCCAATGAAGAAACCAGAGTTCAAAGAGAGAAAGACAGGGATTGCCCAAGGTCTGGGCATTGGTGGAGTTGCCCCTGGTCTGGTGATTGGCGGAGCTGTCTGAGGTCCGGTCGTTGGCGGAGCTGTCTGAGGTCCGGTCGTTGGTGGAGCTGTCTGAGGTCTGGTCGTTGGTGGAGCTGTCTGAGGTCTGGTCGTTGGTGGAGCTGTTTGAGGTCTGGTCATTGGTGGAGTTGTCTGAGGTCTGGTCATTGGTGGAGTTGCCCTGGTCTCGTGATTGGTGGAGCTGTCTGAGGTCTGGTGATTGGTGGAGTTGCCCTGGTCTGGTGATTGGTGGAGCTGTCTGAGGTCTGGTAATTGGTGGAGTTGCTCCTGGTCTGGTGATTGGTGGAGCTGTCTGAGGTGTGGTCATTGGTGGAGCTGTCTGAGGTCTGGTCGTTGGTGGAGCTGTCTGAGGTCTGGTCGTTGGTGGAGTTGTCTGAGGTCTGGTCATTGGTGGAGCTCTGTGAGGTCTGGTCATTGGTGGAGCTGTTTGAGGTCTGGTCATTGGTGGAGCTGTCTGAGGTCTGGTCCTTGGTGGAGCT